GCTAGCCTTGAGCTGAAGAGCTGAGGGACAGCGCCCAGGCCCAGAGTTCAGGCTCAACGACCCAACCCCCCCCCCAAAAAAAAATCAGCAAAAAAAAGAACAAAAACCATGGCTTAAGTAGTAGAGTGCCAGCCAAGCAAGCCTGAGGACTTACGTTCAAACTCTGGTACCAGCCAAAAAACGTAAATAAATAAAAGCTGAGACTGATGGTGTGTGTCTGTAATCCCAGCTTCTCCAAAGACTGGGGCAGAAGATTCAATTTAAGTAACTGAAGACATCTCAAACATACAATCCTAGGACTCTGGGGATGTGGCTCAGACAATGATGATGTGACCTCAGCCAGGAGACTTCACCTCTGCCTCAGCCTTGTCTCTTCCTGCTCTGGCCTCTGGAGGCTTCTCCTGTGAACCGGAAGAGCCTCGGGGTAGGCAGCCCAGCAGGGCGCCCTCAGACCTCCCTGCCAAATTAAGAAACTCAAGTCTCCTGGTTTATTGATTCCATTGAAAACAAATGGGGAGCCAGGCGCTGGTGGCTCACGCCTGTCATCCTAGCTACTTAGGAGGCTGAGATCTGAGGATCGTGGTTCAAAGCCAGCCCAGGCAGGAAAATCTGCGAGACTCTTATCTCCAATTAACCACCCCAAAACCAGAAGTGGAACTGTGGCTCCTGAGTGGCAGCCTTGAGCAAAAAGAGCTCCAGGACAACGTCTGGGCCCTGAGTTCAAGTCCCATAACTGACAAAAAAAAAAAAGGAAGAGAAAATCGGGTTCAGTGGCATATGCCTGTAATCCAAGCCACTAAAGAGGCCAGGATCTGAACAGTTCCAGGCTAGCCCCAGCAGAAAAGACCAAGTTATTGAGACCCCATCCCCAAAGCAAGCCTAATCTGGGAGCTGGTGTCTCACACCTGTAATCCTAGCTATTCTGGAGGCTGAGCTTTGAGGATCATGGTTTGAAGCTAGTCCATGAGATACTTTTCTCCAATTAACTAGCAAAAACTCTGAAGTGAGCTGGGCAGTGGTGGCTCACACTTGTAATCCTAGCTATTCAGGAGGCTGAGATCTGAGGATCATAGTTCAAAGCCAGCCTGGGCAGGAAAGTCTGACTCTTATCTCCAATAAACCATGCAGAAAATTGGAAGTGGCGCTGTGGCTCGTTTGCCTTGAGCTGAAGAGCTGAGGGACAATGCCCAGGCCCAGAGTTCAAGCCCCATGACTGACAAAAAAAAACCCTAAGCCCTGAAGTGGAACTATAGTTCAAGCCTTGAGCAAAACAAGATCAAGGACAGCGCCTAAGCCCTGAATTCAAGCCCCAGGACTGGCACATAGGTGCGCACGCACACACACTAAATAACACTGATGTAAGTGAAAATTGAAAAATTATTCAATCCAAGAGCTAAGGACCTCCAGGTATAGCTTGATCCTGGAGCTCAGATCCCAATCTCTGAACCAAAGCCAGTGGCTGGTGAGATCAAATGCTCTGATTGGCCAGGCCTGGGGAGGCGAGGGTGGGGCTGCTGCTGCTGCAGGTTGCTGGGCAGGTGAAATCCTTAGGAGTGTGTCCACTCTGAGGGTCTCTCAGGAAACCTTTGATGGCTCTGCTCTTGAGTGAAGTGCCACCTCTGAAACTCCTTGAAGCAGGAAGTTGACTCTCTAGGCACAGGACCTACCCAGTCATTTGTCATCAAGTGGCAGTGCTCAGCCCTAAGTATCCCCCCAAGTGTGATGGGAGAGGGGAAGGGAAATCGATTTCCACACCTGGGCTTCCTTCCTGGTCTCAATCCACTGTCCAGACCAGCCAGGAGACAACAGGGCCCACTCAGTTGCTGGAGGAAGATAGGAGGCCTTTCTGGAAGAAGATTCCCAGGTTCTTTTTTTTTTTTTTCTGAGACAGGGATTACAGGCATGCACCACCATACTTGACTGTTGGTTCTTTTACTCATGGGAGAAATCCAGGATGTAGGGTGCAGGGTTTTACCAAACAAGACTCACGAAAACCCAGACCTCCTGACCCTGGCAGGCAGACCTGAGACTTGCATAAGTTTCTTCATCCAGTCTGATGCCAGTGGCTCACACCTGTAACCCTAACTACTCAGGTGAGATCTGAGTATCTAGGTTCATAGACCTACTGGGCAGGGAAATCTGTGTGACTCTTATCTCCAATTAATTAATGGGTTTCAGAGCACCAACCCTGAGCTAAAAACACTAAGGGGCAGCACCCAGGGCCTGGGTTCAAGTCCCAGTACTGGCATGCAAAATAAAAATTACCAATCTGCTTTTTGTACCTTCATTTTCTTTATCCTACAATGTCCTGGGGAAATTAATTGTGATAATTGGACATAATAAGAAGTACTAGACACGTTTTTTAAAAACAGCATCATTATAGGTGACCTACAGTAGTGCGCACCTGCAGTTCCAGACCTCCCAAGGCTGAAGCAGTATGATGGCAAACTAGAACCTAAGCTTCATAATGAGTCCCTGTCTCAAAAAAAAAAAAAATCATGAAGCCGGGCGCTGTAATCCTAGCTACTCAGGAGGCTGAAATCTGAGGATCTCGGTTCAAAGCCAGCCTGGGCAGGAAAGATTGTGAGACTCCGATCTCCAATAAACCACTAGAAAACCGGAAGTGGCTCTGTAGCCCAAGTGGTAGAGCTCTCGCCTTGAGCTGAAGAGCTGAGGGACAGCGCCCAGGCCCAGATTCAAGCCACAGGACTGGCCAAAAATAAATAAATAAATCATGTTGGGTGCCAGTGACTCACACCTCTAATTCTAGTTACTCAGGAGGCTGAGATCTGAGGATCATGGTTTGAAGCCAGCCAGTACAGAAAAGTCCCTGTGAGACTCTTATCTCCAATTAACTACTCAAAAACTGGAAGTGGTGCTGTGGCTCAAGTGGTAGAGCACTAGCCTTGAGTACAAAGAGGCTCAGGGACAGTGCCCAGGCCCTGAGTTCAATCCCCACAACGGACTAAATAAAAAATAAAATAAAAAGGGGGAGGTGGGTGGGACCTGGAAGCATGGCTCAGGGAGGAGGCACCTGCTTAGCAAGTTCAGGTCCCTGAGTTCGAATCCCAGCAACCCCCTAAAGATTTGAATGCGGGTCAGTTAGAGCCTTCAGTCCACAGGGAGGAAAACCTGGTGGATGGATGGTAGGTGGGGAGGGAGGGAGGGTCCTAGCCTGGGAGAGCTCCCCCCTCATTCCCCCCCCAGTCTTCTGCATCCCGCCTCCCCTGTCCTCCTCTGTCCCGGCAGGCTGTGCGGCCTCCCCAGCTCTCCCAGCCCCAGGAATGTGAAGAGGTGGGTGGGGGTGGGGAGGAGGGAGGCGGCCGGGGAGACACAAAGGCCGGTGGAGGGGGCAGGGGAAGCGGGACAAGGACGCGGGGCGGGACCGGCCGTCTGGTGGGCGTGCCCGAATACTGGCCACACCCTCCGATTCGTGGCCCCGCCCATCCCGGCCTGGGCGGTGCTTGGCGGCGCGCGGGCCGGTCTGTGCTGCCCCCTGGCGGCCCAGCGGGGTCCTCCTCCCTGAATGTGGGAGGTTGGGTGGGGGGACCCGAGGAGGGGGGACACGAGGAAAGAGGCAGGGGCAGAAACACGGTGTGCTGGCGGGGAGAAACTGACTTACAGAGGACAGGATCAGAGACAGACAGCACAGCCCCAGGCAGGGTCAGTGACATGCCGAGTCCCGGGGATGGAAGGAGACTCCAGGGACGCGCGACATGGAAACTCGGCGAGACAAAGAAAGATCAGGAACACGGCGACACGGAGGCATCAGTCCTGAAAGATCTCCCCACACCCCGAGACCAGAACCCGGAGACCAGAGTCAGAAAGGCCGAGATGCCCAGAGAGGCAAATCTAGAAAGGAACGATGGAGATCTTTCAGGCGACACGCGAATCCAGAGATCATTAGAGATTGGGATACCCCGAAAGCTGCCCCTGACACAAGCCGGGACCCGGGGGGCGGGAAACACCGGGGGGGGCGCCCCGGAGAGAAGGAGGGCCCACGGGAGCCCACGTGACTCCCGCGGGTGTAATGGGCCCCAAATGAGGCTGAGGGTTCCCCGGGACGCAGGGGACAAGACACCGGAGGGCAGGGGGCGTGGTGTGGGGGCGTGGTTTCAAGAGGGCGGTGACCGGAAGTTCCGATGGGGCGTGGTCAGAACCTGAGTGCCCGGGCCAATCGAGAGGGCAGAGAGGACTCAGAGCAGGGGGCGTGGCCGTAACGCCAGTGGGCGGGGCTTAGCATCGAGTTGATTCCTGAATGGGCGGGGTGTGAAATTCCAAGGGGCGTGACCATACCATCAAAAAGGGGCGTGGCCAGAGCCCAGGATCGGCTCCGCTGGGAGAGTCACCGGGAGAGGGGGCGTGTCCTGTGACGTCAGCGAGTACGGATCGCCACAACTAACCCCGGGGCTGGGGGCGCGGATCCTGAGAGCCGGGCGCGCGAAGCTGGAGCCCGGAGAACCGAGCTGGGAGCGCCGTGCGGGGCGGGAACCGGGCTGGAGCCGGATTCTGCAGACACCTGCTGGCCCTCCCAGCCGATCGGTGCACGCATAGTGGCCCGCAGGCCCCCGCCCGGGCCCAGACCCCTCCCGGGCCCTCCATGGCCCGGGCCGCAGTCCTCCCGCCGTCCAGACTGTCGTCGCCGACGCTGCTGTTGAGGTCGTTCCTGCTGCTGCTGCTGCTGCTGCTGCTCCGGGAAACAGGTGCGAGGCCGCGGATGCCCTTCCTTTCCCTTCCGAGGGGGCGGAAGCCTGGGCATCTTTCCCCCCACGCCCCTCGCGCCCACTTCCAGGCCAGCCCTACTCCTTTTCCATCCGAGCCCCCGACCCCCCCCTCCTAACCCCACCTGCCCATCCTACCACGGCTTCCTCCGATCCCCGCGCCGAAGGGGTTAAATCCGAGGTCCGTCGGAGGCCGCGCACCCCCCTCCCCACCCTGCGCCGACCGGGAAGCTGGCTTTCCGTCTCCGCCGCCCCCCCTCAGGAATGTGGGGAATGTGATCCCCCACCCCCCCTTAATTTTTCCGTCTTGAAGGGCTTGGGACATCTGAGGCCCCGGCAAGATTTGGGGGGGCCATTCACTGGGGTTCCCCTGGAGAAGGGGCGGGAAGCTCGGACTTTGGGGGCCCTGGGGGTGGGAAAGAAGGGCCTGAGGCCAACTCCTACCCCAGCCTCTGGGGGTGGTCTGGGTAGAATTGGGGGGGTTCACATTTGTGGGGTGTCGGTTTAATTGTGAGCAGGGTGCTCTGTCTGATCCTGGGGTCCTAAAGGTGGAAACGGGGTCAGGAGGCTCCGATTGGACGGTGGGCCGTGAAGATCTGAGACTCAGATCCTCAGGTGGCCATGGCGACCCCGTCCTCCGGCCTACTGATGGAAGCCAGGACCGCCCCCCACACCCTAGTGCTCTGTCTGGAAGCTGGAAGTGGGGGGGGGCTGGCGATCGGTTGTGCCTATCGGGGAGCCCCCCTCTCCGGGGAGACTTCCCAGGGGAAGTTTTCCGGGTATCGCTTTCGCCCAGCCCGGGAGGGGAGGGCGGGGAGGGGCGGGGTGGCCGCGCCGGGCTGCGGACTCCTCTCTCCAGGTCGGTTTCGGGAGCCTTATCTTTCCTCGGGTCCCGCCTTTGTCCTCCCAGCCTCTTCGGGGGGTGTGGAGGGGGGGGACGGGTTTGGAACCCTGCCTGGCTAATCCCGGCGTCCCCTCTCCACCCCCCCCACCCGGGGGGAGGGCTCCTGCCCCGGCCAGGGCGGGGGCGGGGCGGGGAGGAAACAGGTGTAGCGCGCGGCCCCGCCCCCCGCAGGTGGCCTGGCCCAGCGCGCTCCCAGCTCGAAACTCTGGAATCCTGGTGTCGCCCAATGGCTGGGACGGAAAAGGGGGGCTCCGGGGGATCGTGGAGTGGGGGGGGCTGCTGTCCCTCCACTGGCCAGTGGACATTTACCCTCTGATGTCGGGGTTTCTGACTTGTGAACTGCTTCTTCTACCTCTGGGCCTCTCCCTCCTATGGTAGCTGGGGAGGGAAAAGCGGGGGGGGGGGGGGCGGGGGGCAGGGGGGGTTGGGGATCAAAACCCCGCCATCCCTGGGCTAAGAGTCTTGGAATAGAGGGAAGCTTTTACTCGGGGTAGGTGTTCGTGGAAGGTTCCAGATTCTCTTCCGCCTCCCCCCCCCCCCCAAGGAAGCAAGTCTTGATTTGTGCAGATGAGGAGACAGCCGCTTAAAGAGAACCAGCCGCTTTTGCCAGGGCCCCACGGCCTCCAAAGCCAGCACAGAGAGCGCCCAGTCAGCACTTCTGGGCTGTTGGCTGAGCAGGTGCTTGTGACACTTATTTCCTTCTGTAAAACTGAGGACAGTCCCTTCCCTGTGGGAACAAGGGGACCTTTAAATCCTGTCCCTGGAGGATGTTCCTTGATGTCTTCAGAAAGATGAGAAGGGGCTTTCACTTTCCTAACCTTCCACCTTCTGCCTCTGCTCCCTCTGTCTGGCTGTGTCTTTCTGTCTCTCTATGTCTCCTCTCTGTCTTCCTCTGTCTCTCTCTGCCTGCCCCCCCACATGTGCCCTTCTCTGGGAATGGGGGTGCACCACCTGGACCTCTGCCTGAGCCCGCAGAGAGAGTCCCCCCCTTCCCCATCTTCCTCTCTGGCTTTTTCTGTGCTCTGCTCCTCCCTGTCAGCCAGGCGGCAGTGGGGGAGGGGAGGAGAGGGGACTCCAGGCCTGGCTGTCTCTTCCTGTTAGGGAAGGGGGACTGAGCAGAGGAGGATGTGTGTGGGGGTGGGTTGTGGGGGGGCAGGGGTTCAGGGAGACGGGGAGAGAGGGAGGGGTCCACAGACAGGATAGAAATACAGGAATGGGGCTCGAAGCCAGGGAGGGGGAGGGGAATGTCAGAATCAGACCCAAGGATGGGGTGGGGGGGCAGAAAAGAGACATGGGGGGGAGACTGTCCCCTGGGGATGGGTAGAAAGACCAGAAAGGGACAGAGCGTGTGGGGGGGGGAGATTACCAGAGTAAAGGCCAGGACAGCCAAAGGAGAGGAGCTGAGAGGCTTGGGGGTGAAAAATGGGGGAGCCCCAAAGACCCCAAAGCTTAGGGAGAGTGTGGGTGATGTGACCCAGGGTTCAGGGCCCCAGCAGGCTGTGGGTGCCATGGGGAGGGACAGGGAGTTTCACAGGAGCCCCAGCTCCCCCGCCTCTGCCTGGGACTCTTGTTACATTTTTAATGTCCCAGCACTGTTGAGAAATGGAGCAGAGAGGGGGGAGGAGGACAGGGGACCCGAGATGGCTGCGTGGAGAAAGTGTTGCAGATATAAGGAGAGACTGGAGCGCCAGGAGGCAGGGAGCTGCAGAGACACACAGAGTCTCATTACCAGACATCTTGGGGTGATCAGAGCCCCCTCTCCCCACCCTGCCTCTGGAATCTTCCCACAGAGAAGATTGAAGGCCCTGGGAGACCCCACACCCTGGAAACTCAGATGTATAGTTAAAAAGAAGGCAAGGACTCGGAAAGCCGGTCATAGTAGCATCCACCTGTAATCCCGGCTCACTTAGGAGGCTCAGGCCGGAGGATCTAGAGTTCAAAGCCAGCCCAGGCAAAGTTAGTGAGACCTTGTCTCAAAGACAAAGAGGAAAATAAAAGGGCTAGGGCTATGGCTGAGAGAGAGAAGAGTCAGGAATGTGGGCATCTCCGTGGCTACCAAGAATGTTCTAAAACTGTGAGGACAGATGCACAACTCCGAATGAACTGGAAGATGCTAAACTGGATGCTTTAAATGGGTGGATTGAACCTGGTGACTGGGGGGGGGGGCAAGCCTATCATCCTAGCCACTCAGGAGGCTGAGATCTGAGGATCACAGTTCGAGGCCAGCCAGGGGCAAGAAAGTCCACGAGCCTCTTCTCTCCAATGAACCACCAAAAAGCAGGAAGCGGAGCCGCGGCTCAAGTGGTAGCGCTCCAGCTTTGAGCAGAAAGAGTGAAGAGCGTGAGGGACTGAGTTTGAGCCCTGGGACTGGCATGAAAATGAATAATAAGCAAATAAATAAGGGGAGGGGAGAGAGAGGGGAGGGAGGAGCCCTAACCCCCCCCTCCCCCAGGAATGACCCGACTTGGAACCCAAATCAGGGAGATGTTTCTAGAAAGGATGTTTGAGAGAGGACACTAAGGTGTGAATTTCCTGAGACCGGATGTAGTGGGGAGAGCCCAGGGGGGAGAGCCCGGCCTGAGGCCGCTGCAGGGGGGTGTGGGGGAGGGGGGCTCCTTAAGGCCTTGGAGACTCCAGGCCAGACAGCCCTGCCCCCCAGACCTGCTCTGGGTTTCCACTGTGGGGGTGGGCCCCGTGATTAATGTAATTAATTAATTAACCCTGTGGTTGAGGCGGCAGCTGGGGCCTGAGCTCCAACCACTTCCACGAGACCTCCAGTCCTGCCCCGCCCTGCTCAGAGAATGGGGTCACCAGGTTTTTATAGTCCACAGAGGCTCCCAGACCCAGGTCGCCTGGCCTCAGCCTCCTCCCCCAGGGCCCCTTTGCTCTCCCCAAGCCTCCTGTCTGTCCTGGTCGTCCCTCCTGCAGTCCCAGACTCCGTTCACTGATGTCTTCCCTGGGCCTCTGCGGACCCTAGGCCCTACAGGAAGTCTGACGGTCAGTCCACAGGGACAGAGGAAGTGTGTTTGGGGACCTGGCTGATCTCTCCATAAAGCCATCACTGGCAGCCTGGGCAGGCACACACTGCATCCCCGCCAAGGTCACGGCCACGGCCACCGCCTGGCCACCCTGTGCTGGACAACAGGGTCCATCTTCTGTTCTTTCCCGGCCTCCACCTGACCTGCAGGTGATCACGCCCTCAGCCACATCACCTTCCGCCATAACCTGCCCGCCCCCCTCTCTCTCTCCCCACTTCCCTGGTCCCAGTCCCACACTCCCATTCCAGAAAGTTCCAATCCAGAGCCCCAACTCTGTCTTCAGATTGCTTTGCTTTGCTTTCTTTTCTTCCCCTCTCTCTCATTCTCTCCCCCCTCCCTCTCCCTTTCCCTCTCCCCCCCTCTCTCTTCCAGTCCTAGGATTTGAACTCAGGGCTTGGCACTGTCCCTAAGCTTCTTTTGCTCAAGGCTAGTGCTCTACGACTTGAGCCACAGCTCCATTTTGGGCTTTTTGGTGGTTCATGGAAGCCTTACAGATGTTCCTACCTGGGCTGACTTTGAACTGTGATCCTCAGATCTGAGCCAACCTGAGTTGGCTGGGATTACAGGGGTGAGCCACTAGACCCCCCCAGCCCCTGGCTTATCAGGAAGCTTTCTAGAGCACCAGCTTCACCCTGTTCCTCCCTGAGGTTATAGGGCCATAGCCGCCCAGGGCTGGCAGAGAAAAACACTAAATGCAGCCTCGGCCGGTGCGATCTAGTGAGCTTTTGACTCTCCAGTTGATCTCATTCATTCATTCAGCAGGTGGATGGGTAGGGAGCCTGTGGAGCTCTGTCTGAGGAGACAGCCTGCAGTGGAAGGAACAAAGATCTCTTGCCCCTTGGGGCTCCTGTCAGGTGGGGAAGACAGACAGGATCTGCCCCACTCCTAGTGACTCTGAGCTTAATTAGTGAAAAGAAAGCCAGAGTGTCCTTATGGACCCAGTGGTCAAGGAATGTAGCCAAAAGGCCCTAGGGGAGGTGAGGAAAAGAGTGAACAGCCCAAGCAAAGGCCCTGGGGCAGGAGAAAAACCCAACAATGTAGTTTACCTCTGGCTGTGTGTGAGCCTAGAATCCACCAGGTGGAAGGTGGCTCCCTGGGAATGCAGGGGTGGTGATGGTGGATTGATCTGGGCTGGCAGGTGGACCACCTTGGGTCTCATAGATGGCGTGCATGCGTGTGTGTGTGTGTGTGTGTGTTTCTGCTTGCCTGCATTAGGGCTTGAACTCAGGGCTTGAGCGCTCTACCATTCCAGCCACACCTCTATTTGCTGCATTTCTGCCAGTTAATTGGAAATAAAAGTCTCACAAACTATGCGCCAAAGCTGGCCTCAGTCCTCAGTCCTCAGATCTCAGCCTCCTGGGTAGCTAGGATTACAAGTGTGAGCCATTGGCACCGGCTCACTTCTTCCATTCTATAATCCCATAGGAACAAATGGTCTCTCCCTCCGTGTGTGTGTGTGTGTGTGTGTGTGTGTGTGTGTACGTGCATAAATCTGTGTGTGTGTGCGTGTGCCCACGCACACCCACAGGTACACCAGTCCTGGGGCTTGAACCCATGGCCTGGGTCCTGTCCCTGAGCTTTTTTTTTTTTTGTCGGTCGTGGGGCTTGAACTCTGGACCTGGGCACTGTCCCTCAGCTCAGCTCAAGGCTAACACCCTGCCACTTGAGCCACAGCGCCACTTCTGGTTTTCTGGTGGTTCATTGGAGATGAGTCTCACAAAGTTTCCTGCCCAGGTTGGCTTTGAACTGCCATCCTCAGATCTCAACCTTCTGAGTAGCTAGGATGACAGGCATAAGCCACCAGTGTGTGGCTCCCTGAGCTTTTTTGCTCTAGGCTAGTGCGGTACCACTTGAGTTGCAGTTTTGCATCTAGCTTTTTTGGGTAGTTAATCGGAGATAATAATTTCATGGATATTCCTGCCTAGGCTGGCTTTGAACTGTGATCCTCAGATCTCAGCCTCCTCAGTCCCTAGGATTACAGGTGTGAGTGAGCACTGGTGCCTGGTCACATGTCTGTCTTTTAAGTCTTCCTCAGAAGAGCCAAAGCCTGGAGTATTTGGCCTGTGGGGCCTGCTTGTCTTGCTCAACAGGATGGCCTTTCCTCTGGGGTGCTGGGCTGGCATCCCCTCTCCTTTACCCCTCCTCCCACCCCAGTCCCCAAGCTGCAGCTCCAGCCAGATTCTGTGTGTGGCTGGGGTGTGCCCTGTCCCTTAAGATGGGCTAAGAACCCTTGTCCCCACGCTACCCTGGGTTGAAGTGCCAGGAGAAGGTGTTTTTTGTAACTAGCTCTTATCTTGAGTTTCCGGTGGCCTACATGCTCTCCAGGCTTTAAGTAACACACACCAGAGAAACAAGCACTAATCATTATTGTCATTTGCAGCTGAGAAACTGAGGCACAGAGATGTTAAGTCACCAGCTCAGATAGGGGGAGGATTCAGACACGCATATTCTGTACAGGGAGAAAGCCAGGCTAGGGTATGCCTTTGGTATAGTTCTTTTTTTTTTTTTTTTTTGGTTGGTCGGTCATGGGGCTTGAACTCTGGGCCTGGGCGCTGTCCCTCAGCTCTTCAGCTCAAGGCGAGCGCTCTACCACGTGAGCTACAGCGCCACTTCCGGTTTTTCTGGTAGTTTATTGGAGATAGGAGTCTCACCGTCTCTCCTGCCCGGGCTGGCTTTGAACCGCGATCCTCAGATCTCAGCCTCCTGAGTAGCTAGGGTTACAGGCATGAGCCACCAGCGCCCGGCTGTTATAGTTCTTACCCAGCATGCCCAAGGTCCTCTGACCCCTAGCACTGTGAACAAGCACACACACACACACACACACACACGCGCGCGCGTGCGCGCGCACACACACACACACACACACCCCAAAAACAAGAAGACAGATGGTAGGCTGAGAAATGAACAAATTAGGTTCAAACAAAAATTCATATACAAGGGGCTGGGAAGGTGGCTCAGTGGTAGAGCACTTGCCTTGCATGCATGAGGCCCTGGGTTCGATTCCTCAGCACCATATAAGCAAAAAGAAAAAAGCCGGAAGTGGCACTGTGGCTCAAGTGGTAGAGCGCTAGCCTTGAGCTGAAGAGCTGAGGGACAGCGCCCAGGCCCAGAGTTCAGGCCCCAAGACCGGACCCCCAAAAAAAAAATTCATATACAAGCCAGGCGCCAGGCGCTCACACCTGTCATCCTAGCTACTCAGGAGGCTGAGATCTGAGGATCACGGTTCAAAGCCACCCCAGGCAGGAAAGTCCATGAGACTCTTATTTCCAGTTAACCACCAGAAACCCAGAATGGTGCTGAAAGGCTCAAGGGGTAGAGCACTCGCTTTGAGATAAAGAGTTCAGGGACAGTGCCCAGGCCCAGAGCTCAAGCCCCACGAACAACAACAATAACAACAAATTCATATCCAGGCCAGGCATGGTGGCTCATGCCTAGAATCCCAGGTATTGGGTAGACAGTGGGATCATGTCTCAGTGACACAGTGGGATCATGTCTCAATGAGGCCAGGCCAAGCAAAAAGTCTTAAGACCCTCTCTCAAACACTTGTTGGGAAATGATGGTACTCATCTATAATCCCAGTTCCTCAGGAAGCAGAGGTAGGAGAATTGGTGTCTGGGCAAAATCAGGCAACTCTTGTTTGCAAAACAAACTTTAAAAAAAAGCCAACCCATGGGCTGGGAATGTGGCTCAGTGGTAGAGCGCTTGCCTTGCATGCCTGAGGCCCTGGGTTCCATTCCAAAAAAACCCACATACACACACACACACACACCACCAAAAAAAAAAAAAACCCGCACATGGGTGGCTCCCGCCTGTCATCCTAGCTACTTAGGAGGCTGAGATCTGAGGATCATGGTCTAAAGCCTGCCAGGCAGGAAAGTCTGTGGGACTCTTATCTCCAATAAACCACTAGAAAACCAGAAGTGGAGCTGTGGCTCAAGTAGTAGAGCACTAGCCTGGAGCTGAAGAGCTGACTGGTAGTTCTCAGGCCCAGAGTTCAAGCCCCACAACCAACAAAACAAACAAAAACACAACTGGGTCAGGTGCTGTGGCTCACATCTACTATCCTAACTACTCAGGAGGCTGTTAGCCTGGGGAAGGAAAGTCTGTGAGACTTTTTTGGGGGGTGGGGTCTGGTCATGGGCCTGAACTCTGGGCCTGGGCGTTGTCCCTCAGCTCTTCAGCTCAAGTCTAGCACTCTACCATTTGAGCCACAGCGCCACTTCCGGCTTTTTTTTTCCTGCTTATGTGGTGTTGAGGAATTGAACCCAGGGCCTCATGCATGCAAGGCAAGTGCTCTACCCCTGAGCCACCTTCCAGCCCCAAGTCTGTGAGACTCTTATCTCCAGTTAACACTGGAAAACCAAGAGTGGAAGTATGGCTCAAAATGCTAGAGCACTAGCCTAAAATGAAAAAGCTCAGAGACAGCGCCCAGGCCCTGAGTTCAAGCCCCATGACTGACAAAAACAAAAAACAACAAAGTGACTGGGATGAGGCTCAAGTGCTTACAGCACCAATCTAGCATGTCTGAGGCCCTGAGTGGTTAAAACAACACATTAATCACTCCAAAAACAAGCCAGAGGTAGAGCTGTGACTCAAATGGTACTGCCCCAGCTTTGAGCAAAAAAGCTCATTATAACAAGCACAAGAATATTCATAGACTACAAGATGAGACTGACTCATGTCCAGGTAACCAGCAAAAACCCTTAAGTGGAGGCATGGAGCAGGTGGTTAAACAGCCTTTAATGGAAAATGCTGAGCAAGAGCAGCAAGGTCCTGAGTTGAAGTCCCCGTGCTTGAACTTGAAAATGGGGACAAGTATAGTAACGCATAACTGTAATCCCAGCCATCAGGAGGCTGAGACAGGGAAGATTGAGAACCTACTCTACTTACGGAGAGACCCCTCATCTTTTTGTTTTTGGTCGATTGTGGGGTTTGAACTCTGGGCTTGGGCGCTGTCCCTCAGCTCTCTTCAGCTCAAGGCTAGCGCTCTACCACTTGAGCCACAGCGCCACTTCCAGCTTTTTTCTTTTTGCTTATGTGGTGCTGAGGAATCGAACCCAGGGCCTCAGGCATGCAAGGCTAGCGCTTTACCACTTGAGCCACAGCACCACTTCTGGTTTTCTGGTGGTTTATTGGACATAAAGAGTCTCACAGATTTTTCCTGCCCAGGCTGGCTTTGAACTGCCATCCTCAGATCTCAACCTCCTGAGTAGCTAGGATGATAGGCGTAAGCCACTGGCACCTGGCGAGAGACCCCATCTTTAACACCGAGCCCGGGTGTGTTCCTTCCTAGTTCTCTAGGTCAGGTCCATTGGGTAGGAGGATGGCCCTGGAGGCCCCCGGATCCCTTCCCCAGCTGACCCCCTCTCCTCTGTCTCCCCCAGGAGCCCAAGATGTGCAGGTCCAGGTCCTGCCCGAGGTGCGGGGTCTCCTGGGCGGCGCGGTGGAGCTGCCCTGCCACCTGCTGTCACACAGCCCCGGCGTCCGCATCACACAGGTCACCTGGCAGCTCCTCAACTCCGCGGTGGCCGCCTTCCACCCCTCCTACGGCGTCCACTTCCCCAACCCCCAGTCCACCAAGGACCGCCTGTCCTTTGTCAGGGCGGGAGACGATGCGCAGTCAGACCTGCGCGACGCCACGCTGGTCATCCAGGAGCTGAAGGTGGAGGACGAGGGCAATTACACCTGCGAGTTTGCCACCTTCCCCAACGGCACCCGCCGGGGCGTCACCTGGCTCCGGGTCATAGGTGAGCAGGCTGGGGAGGGTGGGATCGGGGTGCTCCAAGGTGCCCCCCTCCCCCACATTGCTTGTCTTGACTGCAAGGGGCTTGGGAAATAGTTGTGGGCTGTGTGGGTTTGCAGCGTTTGGGAAATAATCATCGAAGCAGCTACTGTGCTACTCAGGAGGCTGAGAGCTGAGGATCGCGGTTTGAAGCCAACCCAGGCAGGGAAGTCTGTGAGACTCTGATCTCCAATGAACTCCTCAGGAAAAGCTGGAAGTGACACCGTGGCTCAAGTAGTAGAGCGCTTCACCTTGACCACAGAGAAGCTCAGGAAGAAAGTTCACTGGAGATAAGAATCTCACAAACTTGCCTACCGAGGCTAGCTTTGAACTGGGATCCTCAGATCTCAGCATCCTGAGTAGCTAGGATTGAAGGCGTGAGCCTCCAGCACCCAGCTTCTATGAGATTCTTTGTTGTTGTTGTTGGTCATGGAGCCTGAACTCTGGGCCTGGGTCCTGTCCCTCAGCTCTTCAGCTCAAGGCTAGCACTCTACCACTTGAGTCACAGCGCCACTTCCAGCTTTTTCTGTTTATGTGTGCTGAGGAATGGAACCCAGGGCCTCATGCATGCAAGACAAGCGCTCTACCACTGAGCCACCTTCCCAGCCCATACTTCTGGCTTTTGGCTGGTTCACTGGAGATCAGAGTCTTCTGGAGTAGCTAGGATTACAGGTAAGACTCTTTTGGCTTGTTTGTTTTTATGCCAGTCCTGGGGCTTAAACTCAGGATCTGGACACTGTCCCTGAGCTCTTTTACTCAAAGCTAATGCACTGGGGGCTGGGAATGTGGCTTAGTGGTAGAGTACTTGCCTAGCATGCATGAAGCTCTGAGTTCCATTCCTGAGTACCAAATAAACAGAAAAGGCCAGAAGTGGTTCTGTGGCTCAAGTGGTAGAGTGCCAGCCTTGAGAAGAAAAATTCAGGGACAGTGCCCAGGACTGGCCAAAACAACAACAACAACAAAAGGTTAATGCTCTACTACTTGAGCCACAGCTCCACTTCTGGATTTTTGCTGGTTCCTTGGAAATCAGAGTCTCATGGACTTTCCTTCCCAAGCTGGCTTCAAACCAAGATCCTCAGATCTCAGCCTCCTGTGTAGCTGGGATTACTGGCGGGAGTCCCTGGTACCCTCCTTACCTCCATTCCTTTTATCTCAATCTGGGAACGTGCACAGATTGATTGTAGCTACATGAAAGCCGGACTTTCTGTCCGGCTCTGTTTGTTTGTTCAGTAGTTCTGAGGGTTCACCCCAGGGCCACCCCGCTCTGCTACGTTCCTTCTACCACTTGAAGTGCCTGCAGCACTCGTAGTTTTCTATCTTGTTTCTTAGGGTTCTGCTTTCTACTGATTGGCCTTGAGTTAGTGATCCATCTACCCCCGCCTCCCGAGAGACTGGGATTACAGGAGGGCAGTGCTGTGTCCCCCATCTGACATTTCTTTTTCTTTCTTTTTTTTTGGTCATTGGGCTTGATCTCTGAGCCTGGGCCCTGTCCCTGAGCTCTTCAGCTCAAGGCAAGCACTCTACTACCACTTGAGCCACAGTGCTACTTCTGGTTTTCTGGTGGTTTACTAGAGATAAGAGTTTCATGGACTTTTCTGCCTGGGGTGGCTTTGAACCGAGATCCTCAGATCTCGGCCTCCTGAGTAGCGAGGATGACAGGCGTGAGCCACAGGCTCCTGGCTCCCATCTGACGTTTCCAAACAGCACAACAGACAACAGCGTACACCCGGTAGCTCAAGTCCCATGACCAACAACAACAACAAAAAAAGACTTGGGGATTCCTGCAGTCCTACAGTGGGGCCCATGGGATGCTTAGGCAGGAATGACGGACCCCCTTTTCCCCCCTTTCCCAGCTCAGCCTGAGAATCACGCCGAAGCCCAGGAGGTCACCCTCAGCCTGGAGCCCATGCCCGTGGCCAGGTGCGTGGCCACGGGCGGCCGCCCCCCTGCCCAGATCAGCTGGATCTCCACCCTGGAGGGTGGGGAGGCCAGAGACAGCCAGGCACCAGGCCCCTACACGGGCACGGTCACCGTCACCAGCCGCTATACCCTGGTGCCCTCGGGGCGGACGGATGGCGCGAAGATCACGTGCAGAGTGGAGCACGAGAGCTTTGACAAGCCGGTGCTGCTGCCCGTCACGCTGGCTGTGCGCTGTGAGTGTGGGGCGCCGCCCTCCATCTCCCCCAGTCCCTGGTAACTGCCGCCTGTTAGACACTGGGGTCCCATCTGCCAGGGCCATCATCCACCTAGGGCTCTAACGTGTGCATGTGTGCGTGCATGCCGGTCCTGGAGCTTGACCTCTGGGCCTGGGCGCTGTCCCTCAGCTCTTCAGCTCAAGGCGAGCGCTCTACCACTTGAGCCACAGCGCCACTTCCGGTTTTCTGGTGGTTTATTGGAGATAGGAGTCTCGTGGTCTCTCCTGCGCGGGCTGGCTTTGAACCGCAATCCTCAGATCTCAGCCTCCTGTGCAGCTGGGATTACAGGCGTGAGCCACCAGCGCCCGGCTGTCCCTTCGTCTTTTGCACTGCACGTTAGTGCTCTACCGCTTGGGTCAGGCCCCGCAGCCTCAGTTCCCAGGGGCGCCTCCCAGCTCCCTCACCCAGATCCTGGCGAATTCTCCTGGGCCAGCGCTGCTCCAGGTCACCCTGTCCCCCAAACGCCCGAGTTCCCAGCCCAGGCCTGGGGCTACCTCCCCTGCCGGGCACTGCTGCTCCTCCCTCCTTCCCCGAGGCCGCCCTGCATCAGCAGTGACACCCCCGCCCGCCCTCTGCTGCCCTGTCCCCCCTGGCGTTGTCCCTGTCCCTGAGCCAGGCCCCCCCCCCGTCTCCCCAGATCCCCCCGAGGTCTCCATCTCCGGGTACGATGACAACTGGTACCTGGGCCGCACGGAGGCCTCCCTGACCTGCAGCGCACGCAGCAACCCCGAGCCCACGGGCTACGACTGGAGCACGTGAGTCCAGGCTGCACTGGGGCTGAGGGAGGAGGCCGGGCCTGGATCCCCGGGGCCAAAGGAGGAAGAGTGGGGCCTGGACTGCTAGTCTGAGGGAGGAGGCTGGGTCGGCACCTCTAAACCTGAGGGAAGAGGTTGAGGCGTGGACTCCTGGGTCTAAGGGAGACTGCTGAGTATGCACCCTTAATCTGAGGGAGGAGGGCCGGGTCCTGGACCCCAGGGTCTGAGGGAGGAGGCAGGGTCTGGACCCCTGGGTCTGAGGGAGGAGGGCTGGCCTTTAGGGCCTTCTTGGGTGAGGAGGGGTAAGCCCTGAGGCTCTATCCTGGCCCTCACTGGCTCCCCCAGGGTCTCGGGCATGTTCCCCACTTCAGCGGTGGTCCAGGGCCCCCGGCTGCTCGTGCACTCGGTGGACCGAGAGGTCAACACCACCTTCATCTGCACCGTCACCAACGCCGTGGGCACCGGGCGTGCCGAGCAGGTCATCGTGCTCCGAGGTAAGCAACATGGGGCTCGCTGCATGGGAACACAAAGGCCCCAGGGCGCTCTTTGATGTCTCTGACTTTGGGGTTCAGGGCTACGCTGTGGTCAGTGCCATCTGGGAAGGGAGGGGCTCAGACCCGCCTCGCTTGGACGTGGGGTAACGAGGGAACCAGGAATGCCAGCCAGGCTGCAGCTGGGGCAACGTGCACCCCAAAGTTCACACCAAGCATCCAAGAGCCAAAACATCCTGAGTTCCCAGAGCCCCAACTTAGAAACAGATCAGAGCTGGGCACTTGCAGTTCAAGCCAAGTCCCAGGGAAGGAAAGTCCATGAGACTTGACTCCAGTGAACCACCAGAAAACCGGAAGTGGCTCAAAGTGGTGGAGCGCTCACCTTGAGCAGAAAAGCTCAGGGACAGCGCCCAGGTCCTGAGTTCAAGATCGAGAACTAACCCCTTCCCCCCTAAAAAAAAGAATAGCTCAGCCCAAGATGCACAGCCAGGAAGAAACGGAGGACTGGGGTGTGGCTTTCTGGTAGAGAGCCTGTCTTGCACAGGGAGGCCTCTGTGCCATCCCCATCCTGGGCAGGATTAGCCCATTGGTGATGGTCACGCCTGTAATCCCAGCTACTCAGAAGGCTGAGATCTTATAGATTGAGGTGGGAAACTAGCCAGGGAACGAAAGCCTGTGAGATTCTTGTTTATCTCCAATTAACTAGCAAAAAGCCAGAAGTGTACCTGTGGTTCAAGTGGTAGAGCACCTGTCTTGAGTGATAAAGCGAAAGGTAAAATAAGAAAAAGAAAAAGCGGCTGGGGGCTTATGCCTATAATCCTAGTTGTTCAGGAAGCTGGGTTCAGGGGATTTGCTATTCAAAGCCAGGCCTGGCAGAAGTCTGTGAGACTCTTACCTCCAATGAACCACTAGAAATCCTGAAATGGTGCTGTGGCTCAGAGTGGTAGAGTGCTAGCCTTGAGCAAAACGGCTCAGGGACAATGCCCAGCCCTGAGTTCTAGCCCATGACTGAAAAAAAGAAAAGAAGATGAAGCCAGGTGCTGGTGGCTCACACCTGTAATCCTAGCTACTCAGGAGGCTGAGATCTGAGGATTGAGGTTCAAAGCCAGCCGGGGCCAGAAAAGTCGGTGAGACTCTTATCTCCAGTTAACCACCAGAAAACAGAAAGTGGTGCTGTGGTTCAAGTGGTAGATCTCTCGCCTCGATAGCTGAGGGACAGCACCCAGGCTCCCAAATTCAAGCCCCACGAATGTAAAAAAAGAAAATGAATGATACAGAAGAAAACTTTGGAAGGGCTGGGAATGTGGCTTAGTGGTAGAGTGCTTGCCTAGCATTTTGAAGCCCTGGGTTCGATTCCTCAGTACCACATACACAGAAAAAGCCGAAAGTGGGGCTGTGGCTCAAGTGTTAAAGAGTGCTAGCTTTGAACAAAAGAAGCTCAGGGACAGTGCCCAGACCCTGAGTTCAAGCCCCAGGACTGGCAAAACAAAACAACAACAAAGAAAACTTTGGGAGATTTAACAGCTCTCCTCCCTGTCCTGTTCCCCAGCCTCTTTCTTCAGTGTGTACCCCCACATTTTCCCCAGACAGTTTGGTGTACCAGCTACCTCGGCTGCCTCCCTCTGTATTTGGTGTTATAAGCAATCCCCTGGCGATTCAAGGTTATGGGAGTGTATATGCAGATTTTATGCAAATACTAAGCTATTTTACATACTTTACTGGAAGTGGGGGAGGGAACCAATTTCTGCCTGTGCTTCCTGTCTTGTCTGCCTGTCTAACTGTGTACTGGGGCCTGAACTAAGGGCCTGGGCTTTTTGCCATTCAAGGTTAGTGCTCTACCACTTGAACCACAGCTTCAAACCCTGATCCTCCCATCTGGGCCTAGGATCACAGGCATGAACTACCTGCACCCGGCCTTCTATTTTCTTTTGCAGTGCTGGGAATGGAACCTAGCACCTCCCACACACCCACCAGCCCTTTGGTGTTAATTTCATTTGGGGGGGGGCGTGGGGGACTTGAACTCAGAGCCTGTTACATTTCATTTTGGGAACAAGGTCTCCAATTACCAAGCCTCTCCACAAACTTAGGATTCTCCTACCTCTGTCTTCTGAGTAGTTACGATTACAGCCATGTACCACCATACCCGGGCAGGTTTATTTTTATTTTATTTTATTATTGTTTTTGTTGGTTGTGGGGCTTGAACTCTGGGCCTGGGCGCTGTCCCTCAGCTCTTCAGCTCAAGGCTAGCACTCTACCACTTGAGCCACAGCGCCACTTTGGGTTTTCTGGTGATTCATTGGAGGTAAGAGTCTCAATGGATTTTCCTGCCTGTGCTGGCTTTGAACTGCAATCCTCAGATCTCAGCCTCCTGAGTAGCTAGGATGACAGGCGTGAGCCACCGGCACCCAGTTAGGTTTACTTTTTAAAGAAAATTGTATCTTGGGGATACCTGTCCCTCCCCCCCACCCCCGCTCCATACCTGTACAAAGGTCTCCCTGAAGTGAGAGATCATGCATGCCTTCTCTCGTTTCTCCCCCTCTTCTTTTCCCAGCCAGTCACCCCGCTAATTCCTGTCACTAACCCCTGTGTCCTGAGTCCCCCAACCCTCCCCCCAGATGCAGCCTCTTGACTTTCATCTATCTCTGTTTCTCTCTTTTCTCAGACACTCCCCAGGCCTCCTCCCGTGACGTGGGTCCGCTGGTGTGGGGGGCCGTGGGGGGAACGTTGCTGGTACTTCTCCTTCTTGGGGGGGCCTTGGCTTTTGTCTTGCTGAGGAGGAAGAAGAGGAGGAAGAGCCCTGGAGTTGGAGGAGGAGGAGGCGGTGGCGGTGGCGGCTACCGGGGATCCTACGATCCTAAGACTCAGGTGTTTGGAAATGGGGGCCCCGTCTTCTGGACACCGGACATCCCAAGTCCCCGGAGGCCGGATGGCAGGGAGGAGGAGGAAGAGGAGGAGGAGGAGGAGGAGAAGAAGGCTGAGGAAGGCCTCATGTTGCCTCCGTCTGTGGTGCTCAAGGATGACATGGAATCCCACCTGGATGGCTCCCTCATCTCTCGCCGGGCGGTCTATGTGTGATACAAGGACACACGGATGGATGGACGGACAGACACGCTCCCGCCCTGACCCCCTGGCTATGGGCTCCAGACTGGTTGGACTGGTTCATCCGGCCACTGGATGTGGAGGACAGAGGAGACAGTGGCAACACACACCAGACTCCTTTGGGCTCTGGGGACACATGGGGGAATGGGAGACCCCAGAAGCTGCATGGTGGTACGCCCCTCCTTCCTCCCACTAGGAGGACCCCTCAGAGACGCGGTTTCGGCCTCAGCCCACCCCTTGGTCTCTTGCCACTCAGGAGTTAATAAATGCCTTGGGGGTGAACTCTGGGGTGTCTTGTAATACATGCCCCCCCTCTTTTGGGAAGAGCATGTGGGGCAGGGACAGCTTAGTTAGTCCTGGGGCTTGGGAAAGATGAATGGGGCTCCTTGGGGCTGGGGGGAGAGGGGAGGGCATTAGGCCATGACCCCTCCCCTCTCCATAAAGCTAATGGGACATTTGGGCTTCTGTGTCCGAGGACAGGTGCAGGTCCAGCCTGGCCAGAGATCTGAGCTCCCTGGGCTGAGACCCTGGACCTCGGGGGTCCTCCTAGTGGAATGGCAGGGCCATGAGGGCCCGTGGAGGGGTGGGGACCGTGACCCCAACCCCTAGCCCCCCTCCACTGCTGAAGATCTTGGGAAGGCAAAGGCTGCCCTTACCCTTCCTTGGGGCATCAAGTTTCTTTTTTGGGGGTCAGGGGGAAGGCCAAGCGTGGGTACTGAGGATGCTGGGAGAATCTCATCCCAGCCTCCCTCTATCCTCGGGGACCTGGGAATGGATCCCCCCCCCAAAAAAAACTAGAAGGCTAAAGAGTTGGGGAGAAGAAGCAGCGGGCATCGCCCCCTGTGTGGATCAGCCTGGACCCCAGGACCCCAGGATGACTTCACTCAATGTCAACCTTCTCCAGACAAGGCTGAGGCCCCGCTGGCCACACAGGACCCAGCAATGGCCTGGCTGGACAGCTTAGCCCTGCCTTCTCAGGGCGCCCGCCCTTGCTACCTGCAGGAAGAGCGTGTTTAGGATGCTGGGGGCGTGGCCTGGGCGCTGGGACCCTGCTGTCCCGCACACTGGAGCTCTGGAGCATGGAAGCCACACAGCCTCCACCCGAAGCCACATCTGCACCTGGGGACATCTGAGTGGCTATCACCCGTGGGTCTCTACTGCTTGTAGTCCCTGGTCCCCAGGCAGCCACGGGGTACACAGTCAGTATCTTAAGACTCCCTAGTCTAGGAGACAAATGACAATTGACTAGGTAATGATTGTAGGGACTACTCCCATCCGGAAGGACAGAAGTGGGAAAAAGAAACAAAACGTTGTGACAGAGAAGCCACGGGCCCTCAACCCCGTCTGTTCCTCTGTGATGGACCCTGTCATAAATGAGGGGTTCTGCTGCCTGGTAGAGTGTCTTCCATTTCACCTGTTTGGTGACCTTCTGGCTGGTTCCTTCCTTTATAGTCATCTTCTTTCCCTTCATTCTGGCCCAGCCCTGATGTGATCTTCCTACTCCTTTAAAACACCATGAGGATGCCCCAGGACCTTTGCACTGGCTAATCCCATTGCCTGTGACACTCTCTGGCTTGCTCTTGCTTCTCCTTCACCTCTTATCTTTGGGGGGTCCACTCCTATACTTCTCCCACTCTGAGTTGTGTTTTTTTTTTTTTTTTTGTGAGTCTGTACTAGAACTTGAACTCGGGGCCTAAGTGTTTTGTTTTTTTGTTTTTGTTTTGTTTTTTGTTTTTGCTCAAGGCTGGCACTCTACTACTTGAGCCACATTCCACTTCTGGCTTTTTGGTGGATAATTAGAGGTAAGAGTTCTCATGACTTTCCAGGCCAGCTTTGAACCTCGATCCTCCGATCTCAGCCTTTTGAGTAAGCTAGGATTATAGGTGTGAACCACTGGTGCCTGCCTAAACACTCTACTACTGATCTATACATTCAGTCATTAAGACAGGTAGCCAACGCAGGCCTTGACCTGAACCTCCTGTCTCAGCCTCCCAAGTGTTGGGATTACAAGCATGTGCCACCATACCCAGCTCCACTCTTGATCTTTATTTGCTGTTGGCAAATGAACGTCTATTCTTGGGAGGTTGACGCTGAATATATTTGGCTCCCCACTGTCAATCACCCATCATCCCCCTCCCGCCACTCCCCAAAATATTCATACACCTGTGCTTACTGGTGCTCAGCCAGGACTGATTGGATGGCACAAGGCAGGGGGTGGTGACTTGGGGCTGGAGACCCTTACTTTGTCTTTCTCCTTACAGAGACGCCCAACACGGCAGGTGCAGGGGCCACAGGAGGCATCATCGGAGGGATGATTGCGGCCATCATCGCGACCGCGGTGGCCGTCACCGGCATCCTCATCTGCAGGCAGCAACGGAAGGAGCAGAGGCTACAGGGGGCAGAGGAGGAGGAGGAGTGAGTGATGGGTGCTGGGGAAGGGCTGGCAGGATGGGGCAGTGCTGGGCAGAGGGGAAAGGGAACAACTATTCCTGTGGCTCCTTCACAATCAAAGATGGCGGTCCACTCTGCCATCAAGGCCTTGTATTGTGAACTTGTGATCACTAGAATAGAGAACATGTGACTAGCCTGTAAAGAACATCCCAGTTACCTGGTACCTCTTCTCATTTCCTATTGGCCAGAATCAGGTTACATGGCTGTTCCCCCCTGCTGCAAAGGAGCCTGGGAAATGTAGTCTTTATTCTGAGTGGCCATGGGTCCACATTAAATCTCAGTCACTATGAAAATAAAAGGGCTGGGAAGGTGGCTCAGTGGTAGAGCGCTTGCCTTGCATGCCTGAGGCCCTGGGTTCGATTCCTCAGCATCACATAAGCAGAAAAAAAAGCCAGAAGTGGCTCTGTGGCTCAAGTGGTAGAGCGCTAGCCTTGAGCTGAAGAGCTGAGGGACAGCGCCCAGGCCCAGACTTCAGGCCCCACGAGCAGACCCCCCCCCAAAAAAAAAAAAAGAAAAGAAAAGGAGATTGGAGAGAGTCTCAAGGTCTTTGCTGCCTGAGCTGATTTTGAACCATGATCCTCAGATCTCAGCCTTCTGAGTAGCTAGGATGACAGGTGTGAGCCACCAGGCTGGGATAATAAATAAGGTAAAGCTTAGCTGGGCAACAGTGGTTCACACCTGTCATCCTCGCTGACTCAGAGGGCTGAAATCTGAAGATCATGGTTGAAAGCCATCCCAGGCAGGGAAGTCCAAATGAGACTCTTATCTCCAAGTCACCAGAAAAATGCAAATGGCGCTGTGGCTCAAAGTGGTAGCGCGCTGGCCTTGAATGAAAAATCTCAGGGATAGCACCCAGGCTAAGTTCAAGTCCCACGACCAACAAAACAAAAATGAAATAAACTATGAAGGCTCAGCAAGTTCCCTGAGGATGTGACTAGCAGTTTCTTTTCTGATCCCTGAGCGGAATCAGGGATGCTTCCAGGAAAAGGTGGGATTCACAGGAGGAGGGATGATGGGTAGGAGAGGGCCAGATCAGGGACAGGAAGAGTCTCCTTGTGGAGGATTTGTGCAGACATTTTCCTGTAGAGGAGGCATTTTCAGGGCTGAGCCTCCAATTGACGTGCCTCCTAATCGCACAGCCTGGAAGCTCCTCCGTCCTACAAGCCACCGACCCCCAAGGCCAAGCTAGAAGAGCCTGAGATGGTGAGTTCTGTGGCCCAACTCTGAACCTACCTTTCGGTGTGGAGGTGGGGCTTGGCCCACTGGGTGGGAGGGGCCTGTTTGGCTAAGTGGGACTGCCTTGGGTGTGGTTCCCTTGTGGTGGGTGTGGCTGGTGGGTGGGACGGGAGGGGGGGGAGGCGATGTGGAGGCATCCTGACCTGGTCCTCCTCTCCTGCCACAGCCCTCCCAGCTCTTCACCCTGGGGGCCTCTGAACACAGCCCACTCAAGACCCCTTATTTTGATGCTGGCGGCTCAGGCCCTGAACAGGTATTTGGTCATAGGAGGACAAGGGTGGCTTTTGGGTCTGAGTTTATGGATGACATTGAGAAGTGTTGAGGATTCCTTGAGGGAGGTGCGGGGTGCAAAGTCCAAGGACAGGAGGTTACAGTTACTCTGTCACTGTGGACTGGTGGTGCAGGGCACATGCTGTCCTTAGAGCTGGAACGCAACAGTCATTTCCCATCTCCTGGAGGTCAGGGGGGTCAGGTTTGGAGGCTGAGAACCAAATCTAAGTTCAAATGCAACTTAGGGCTCAAGGTTAAGTAGGTGAATTCAAGTTTGAGGTCAAAGGTTCATGGGTAAATAACTGAGAGGTCATAGGTGAGATCCAGGATTGACTAAGTGAGGTCCATTATTCTAAGTTTTGAGTTACAGATTGACATGTACTTGTACTTGTCCCTGTTCAGAGGCGGAGAGGTGACAGGTAAAATGAGGTCTGTCATGCAGAGAGGGTGTTCAGGATTTGGGGTCGAATGGCAGATTGGGATTCTGTAATAGTCAGATGACCTAGACTTCCCGTCCTCTCCAGGAAATGCCTCGCTATCATGAGCTGCCCACCTTGGAAGAGCGATCAGGGCACATGCTGCTAGGAGCCACAAGCATGGCACCCCCCATCCTGGTCACTCCAGCACCACCAACTATAGAAGGGGTTTCCTTAGATCTAGAAGATGACGATGATGACGATGAGGATGAAGACTACCTGGACAAAATTAACCCCATCTATGATGCCCTAACCTACCCCAGCCCCTCTGATTCCTACCAGGGCAAAGGTTTCATTGTGTCCCGAGCCATGTATGTGTAGTAGGCTGCATATGTGGGTTTGCCCTCTCACCTCTCACCTTTGATCTCTTAGCTTTCTGCCAGGGATCTAGTGGCCCTGAACTCCCAGCCAAGCCACTGTCACTTAACACATGTATATTCTCCCTGGTGACATCGACCTTAGCCAGTCCACTGTGACCTCTGACCCTTGAGAAACCTGCTGCACACAACAGTGGAAAGCTGGTGATTTTATCTCATGTGGCAGGGGGTAGCGAGGATGTGTCTGAGCACCACCTCTGTCCCCAAGAAGTCCTAAGACTTCTTAGGACACCTTACACCATGCCACTCACTTCCCGGCCACCCACATCTCACCACCCACAACTCCAAGACCTCTCATTCCTTCTCAGGCAGTAATCGCCGCTGGGTCGGCAAGCACTGGGCAGTTAGAGCTCCCTGCTATCCAGACTTGAGCCCTCCAAGCAGCAGAGCTCCCCCTGCCCCCCCCCACCTCACCCTTGCTCCCCAATGGAGGAGGGAGTTCCCCATCCTGAGGGAATGTGCCCATCTCCCTCCTCATCCTTCCCTGAGCCCCTAGCACCCCAATTCCCATGTAAAGAGCAGTTGTAGCTTTGGGAAACATTTGCTGATTTCTTGACTACTGAAGCCTTTTACTTTGGCCCAGTGGCATAAAACCTAAACATCCCTCTTTGGCAGGGCAAACATGGGCCACCTGGGTTGGGTGAGGCGATATCGTTTTGTACACTAGTATTTCCTACAAAAGATGAATTTATACTTATCAGGTCTGTGTTTTCTGTGGGCTGTGGAGAAGGGTAAGACACGAGGGGAAGGGAGAAAAAAAAAGGAAAAGGATGCACAACTTGAATGGCTGGCAAACACCAAAGATGCCCACCAAGAAAAGTAGCAAACCACCAACCAAAATAACCAACGGGTGTGAGGGTATAGGGATCGATCTAACAGAAATAAAGTCTAACGCCACAGATGATAAACCTACCGTCGCTAGGTAGAAGGATTCAAGGGATAAACCGCAGGTAAAGTTAGGCTAAAGACGAAACGAATAATTTACCAGGCCCCCAAGGCATGATGGGTAATTTACCTGAATGAATGGAGGCAGAGACAAAGTGATGGAGGAGGGATGGAGACTGGGGCATGCTGGGTGCGGGGCCGGTGTCGGGACAGCCAGCGCCCACGTGACGGTCAGTTAAGAGAAAGACCGGAAGGCTGCTGGGAGGTAACCAGGAAGAAATGGGCCACGGGCGGTGGCAGCCTCGGGAGTTGGAATGAATGAGACAGATGCATGCCGGGTAACGGGACGGGAATGAATGGACCAAAGACCGAAGCCGCAGTGACGCCGGGGCAGGCGGCATGATGGGTAACGGAAGAGGTGGGTCTAGGGCAACTGTGGCTTTAAGAGCTGAATCCGCGCCTTGTGGGTGAGCCGGGGCCGGGCAGGCGAAACAGGCGAGCACTATCCCGCAGCACTGTGGGAAGGGTCAGCACTTCCGGCATTCAGGGGGTGCCTTCCCACCTCCCCCTTCTCGGCCGCAGTGCCTGGTGGGATGCGGGGGCCTGACCTTGCTGCCTAGCAGCGTCTACCGCTCAACCCATCTTCACCTGTGTCCTTTGACCCCAGCACGTTAGCCAATGAGAAAAATCAAGCTGATACGTCACTAGGATTGCCCCGCCCTCGTATGCTCCCCCGGCCAATCAAGATGCTTCGTGAGCCAAAATTGTCCAATGATCGGGACATTCGCCTTGAGTGGAGGCGGGGGCTTTCCCACCAGAGAGGGGGCGGGGCGACGCATTGATAGGCGTCTCTTGGCAAGCAGTACAGACCAGTGCCGCCCTTAGAACGGAACCCGCGGCGTCACGAACCAATAGGCGCAGGTAGTGTCGACCAATAGGAAGGGTGAGGGTCTGCTCAGGCCCTCTTGCGAGTGACAACCAATAGAGTAGGACGTTGGCAGTGTGTGGGTGGGACTTCCAACCACAAGCCCAATAGCAAGCCCGGGTCCTGAGGGGAGGTGGGTGGATCTTGGAGAGTACCGAACCAATGAAGTAGGTGGGGCGGGGCGACGGTGGTGGCAGCGGCGGCAGCGGGTTCGGTTGCGCGTGGCGCACGGGGTGGGAGCGGAGCCCAGGCCGGGAGCAGGCGTCGCCGCCAGTGAGAAACCAGGGTCCGGAGCAGGGCTGGGGGAGGGGTTGAGCTGAGGCTGAGCCGAGCG